CTCACTTTGTCTTGATGGTCCATTTAAGTTGTCAACTGATAGCTTGCCACCCATATTATGACTCAGGACTTTCAATACTTGTTCTGCAACTGACACAGATGATCAAACACAGTGAAAAAACTACTTGTGACTTTCTCCTTCCTAGATTCCTAGGCTGCACAGTGTATAGCATGGCCAATAATCTATTGTCTGCATCTCATCTCAAAAATAATTTATTGTCTGCATCCCATCTCAAACTAAGTTCCAGCTAATTATTACCACTATCTTTGTTGCTTTTATTGGCTGTCTGTCCTTCAAATTATAATTGTAAATTATAAAATAATAAAACTATAGTATTCTGGATATTGGAGATCTCCAAAATGTCTTGTTCTTAGCTAAACTCTTCCAGAGTGCTGTCTGACCTGCTGTGATTGTCCAGCTCCACGTTTATTGACCCTTCCATGATATCTCTGTACTTACCTCGGAAACTCTGTCAATAATTCATTGTGCATCCTCCATTTTTCTGACTTTGCCCATGATGCATTCCTTCTCCAAATGCTTTATGAACAATGATAAAGAATAAGTCACTGTTGCAAATATAAGGTTTAATAAGTTTGTTAAGTATTGAGACTGTGTCTTTAATTTAAGGTGAAGTGAAGGAATGATGGCTTCATTTGACCTCTTCTGGAATCTGCTGACAGCAAGCTTGGGTGTCGAAGATTAAAGGGGTCCCACATTGATTGGGAACAGGCTTAGATGCAAAGGTATTCGTGCCTGCAAACAGTGCCAAACATATTTATGTTGATGGTGGATTCTCCCAATTGGCAGTGGTGTTAGATACATAAATGAAGATTACTTAAACAGTTAACATTTTTACCTCTGCAACTTAACAGAAGAATCCCTTATAAATGCAAATAACATTTAATTTTGAATCAGAATACAGGAAGGAGATAGAGGGCTTGGTGTCATGGTGCAATGATAACAATCTCTCTCTCAATGTCAGTAAAACAAAAGAACTGATCATTGAAGAAAGGAGCAGGACATGCCTCTATCTAAATCAATGGAGCTGAGGTAGATCTGGTTGAGAGAGTGAAGTTCCTAGGAGTGATGATAACCAATAATCTGTTTTGGACCTCCCACATAGATGCAATTCTTCCTCGGGAGGCTTAGGAAATTTGGCATGTCCATAAGAACCCTCACCAAATTTTACAAATGCACCATAGAAAGCATTCTGTCTGGGTGCATAATGGCTTGGTACAGCAACTGCTCTGCCCAGGACTGTAAGAAACTACAGCTCAGAAACTACAGTACACAGCTCAGACCATCATGAAAGCTAACCTCCCATCCATGGACTCCATCTACACTTCGCGTTGCTGTAGAAAGGCTGCCAACATCATTAAAGACCCCTACGAGCCTGGTAATACTATCTTCCAACCTCTTCCATCAAGCAGAAGAACAGAAGCTTGAACATATGTACCAAGAGGTTCAAGTGCAGCCTCCTCCCTGCTGTTATTAGGCTGCTGAATGGACCTCTCTATTCTTAGATCTAATGTCGATCCTGCTTTTGTTCACCTCCTGTGCAACTGTAACATTGTATGACTTGCTTTGTCTAAACATCCTATGATCTGTATGTCCTTATATATTATGATCTGCCTGTACTGCTCGCAAAACAAAACTTTTCACTGTACTCAGGTTCATATGACAACAATAAATCAAATCAAGTCAAATCAAATCACTTCTGATATATCTATTAAACTGCCCTTAAATGGATTTGTGCTGGGATCTGTGTAACCATCAGAAATTATTGCTAAATAAGAAACAGAGTTACATGCAAAACCCTTCTAATTTGTAAAATCACAGGATTTCAGAGGATGTATTACACAGAAACAAACAATTCAAACTAATCAGTCTGGGTTATGCTCCACTTGACCCTTCATCAATATCTTTTTTATCTAAAGGCTACCATCGTAAACTCCTATTACTTCTCCAGATACTTAACGAGTTTCCCCTTAAATGAATCTATACCTTTCACTGTGTAGAATGGATTTCATGTTCTTGCCCATTCTTTGGATGAGGACCGTTCTTCTGAATTCCCTTCTTGGTTACATCTTCCTTGTAGCTCTTTATCATAATGTTTAGATTGTCGATGGATAAGGACAAGAAACAATTAGGAGTATGACAGATTAACTAAAGCAATGTCAATCTCAATAGGATAAGAATGGATCTGACAAATAAAATTGAATCAAAGACTGGTAGGCAAAACTGTAATTAAACAAATGTCTGCCTTTAAAGAAGAGATGGTTGTAGTCAAGGTATATTTACATGAAATGGAATGGACGGCAGGCAAATCCAGAGTTCTGCAAATGATGAAAGAAACAAAGATGAAAATTAAACAGAAAATATGTACTTATGAGATATATCCAGTGGATAATACAAGCAGGGACAAGGCTGAATATATGGGGAGGTCATTGCCTGATGGTATTGTCACTACACAATCTCTCCAGAGACACAAGGAATGCTCTGGGGACCTGGGTTCAAATCCCACCATGGCAGAAGTTTGAATTCAACAAAAACCTGGAATTAAGAGTCTAATGATGACTATGTCGGGAAAAACTCGTCTGGTTCACTCATGCTCTTTAGGGGAAGGAAACTGTCACCCTCACTTTGTCTGTCTTACTTGGGACTCCAGACAACAGCCCTCTAGCAATTAGGGATGGACAATAAATGCTGACCGAGACTGCAATACTGACATCTTGTGAATGAATTGAAAAAGCAAATAAGAGAAGCACATTGATATTAGAAGAAACTATCAGTGAGCATAAAATGGAATTCAGAAGTCTGATATGAATAACAAAAGGGTGACTAAAAGAGGAGTAGGACTGATTAAGGGAATTCACCTTTGGGCAGGGGGTGTGACTAGGATAGTAAATGAATACTTTGCATTTGCTTATACCAAAGAATATACTGTTCAGGTCATTGCGAAAGAGGAGGTAGATATCTGGAGGAACTAAAATTGATGAGGAGGATGTATTGAAGATGATATCTGAACTTAAAGTCTTATAGCCAAATGGGCTATTTCCAGGGAATGCAAAAGTGGAAATTGCAGAGGGACTGGACATAATTTTCAAATCTTTCTTAGATTTAGATGGTGACAGAGATCCAGAGTCCTGAAGCTTAAGCAAAATTGAGAAGGAGAATCCTTCATTGTAACGTCAGCCACTGCAGAAATTGAAACCACACTTCTGCAATATAGACCAATTTTCTAGTCAACTAAGCTAACATAACATTCTCATTCAAAGGTAAGATGTAAAGATAAGTTAGCAACTATAGGCCAATCAGTTTAACCTCAGTGATGGGATAATTTCTAGAAAGGGTAACTCGGGACAAAATGAACAGTCACTTGGATAAATGTGAATTAATTAAAGAAAGCAGCATGGATTTATTAACAGCAAATCATGTTTAACTAACTTATTTAAGTTTTTGATGAGATAACACAGAAGATTGCTAAGTGTAATGCTGTTGTTGAGGTGTACATGGACTTCCACATTTGACACAGTGACACACACCAGGTCTGTGAGCAAATTATGAGCTGGAAGAATGAAAGGGTCAGTAGCAACATGGATATGAAATTGGCTGAGTGATGGAAACACATTAGCCAATGTTTTGTGGGTTGAGGGAGACTTATTTTGAGTTCCCTGTGTGTTGGTGTTTGAACCCGTGCACTTCCTGATTTATATTAAGTGCTAAAACTCGATGTGCAGGGTACAATTTCAAAACTTGTAGTCAATACAAAGCTTAAAAACATTGTGTACTGTGTGGTGGATGGCATAGAATTTCAAAAGGACACAGGCAAATTGGTGGAATGGATGAACAAGTAGCAAATAAAATTGAATGCAGAAAAGTGTGAAATTATTCACTTTGATTGAAAGAGAACAGAGATTTTTTTAAGTGGGTACAATTCTAAAGGGATTGCAGAAGCAAAGGGGCCTAGACATAAATTTACGTAAAGTCTTAAAGGTGGAAGGAAGGTTGAGAGCATGAATCATATAGCAGGGTGGATAGAGAGACTGGAACCAGGGACCATAGCTTAAAAATAAGGATGTCTCATAAGGGCAGAAATGAAGACTTTTTTTTCTCTCAGAAGGACCTGATTCTGTAGAACACTGATTCCGAAAGAGTTTGATGGAGGTGAGATCATTTAATATATTTAAGGCAGAGGTAGAGAGATTTTCGCCTGACAATGGAGTCAAAAAGTACCTGGGTGTGCCAGAAAGTGGTGTTGAAACCACAATCAGAACAGTCCTGATTTTATTGAATATCGGGAGCGTCTTGAGGGGCCGAATGGCCTACTGCTGCTCCTAACTCGTATACTGGTATATATATGCAATAAAAGAATTGGCACCGAAATAAAACCAAGAACTGCGGATTCCGGAAATCCGAAACATAAATTGCTGGGGAAACTCAGCAGGTCTGACAGCATGAGCGGCGATACAAGCAGTTAATGCTTCGAGTCCAGCCACCCTTCTTCAGAACGAGCTTATTACCCACGGCTGTATCAAATGTGTTCTGTGATTTGGAAGAGTTCTCGTGCTTTTTTTTAAATTCAAGTTTAATTAAAGAGTTTGACTAGTAGGTGGTAAATTCAATCAGATTACAGCCTCTCTGCTCCTATGATGCTGCTTGGCCTGCTGTGTTCATCCAGCCCTGCACCTTGTTGTCTCGGATTCTCCAGCATCTGCAGTTCCTACTATCTCTGATTCGAGATTATTTTGATGTTGTTTTAAAGTAAGAAAAGAGAACTGAAAACTGTCAGCTACACAAAGTGGCATGTTTCCAACTATTCTCCAGAGTGGGAGCTGAACCTTATGGTTTTAATTGCAGTTACAGGGTATGTTGATGGAAGCTCGCTGTTCGGTTTATCGCTACTGGTGTTTTGTTGCATCTGAAATAATCCGTGGGCTGATTTTTTTTTCTGCGTGTGATAATGACAATCCGTCTTCTGCCGCCGTCACATTCACGTAACTTAGGTAAAAGCGATAGGGTAGCCTAGTAACTCGGTTGTTATCAACGGCTTCTACCCACAGCATAAATTACAGACAGCTTTCAGCCAAGTATAAAAGGCGAATTTCAATCATGTTCCCCAATACTCGTCAGTGACTGCAAGTTGCTAACACGCCGAGACAGAGAGAAAGATGTCTCCTGGCTTCAAGGTTCCGCTACACATCGTGCTGCTGTGGATGGTGATTCTCCAGGGACACGGCAGATACATTGAGGTGGGACATAACTATCAGTCAGTGTCTGCAAAACGGGATCCCTCTGACCATCCATGTGTTCATCTAAACACTTGTCTGTCTCTTTTAGTCTTTTATTTCTGTGATAAGAATTTGCGTTCACGATATTTCAACGTTCCTTCTTTCGTTCACATTCTACGTTGAAATAAATCTTTATCGGTTCGATTGACAGCCATCGCATGCACGTGTTCAGTAACTCTATTCTCAGTCTTTCTCTCCCTTCTGATATCTGCGTCTGGGTCGCCTTCACGTTTCCTCTTTGGAAGATGTGCGGACCATCTGCCCAATTAAAGCTAAGAAACTTTAGCTATGTTTGTTTTTTTTTTCCAACTGGCTTCTTGAGTTTGTATTGGAGACTGTCTTATCAATTCAGAATAGCAGCATACAGAAGCGTCCTTTATAAAGCAACCCTGTGTAACCTGTATAACCCACGCTGATCTGGCGTTGAAAGGTAGCAGATACATTGTATTCAGATTCAATTGTCAGAACCAAGAGGCTAGCGTCTCTGCTGCCGGCGTAAATCTGATTCATTACATCGCGAACATTTTTTACGAATTCCAGTTTAATACATTTCCACGAAAGTTTGCAGGCTTTTTTTAAAAAAAAAATTGCTTTCCGCGACGTGCCTTATGTTTCATTTCCAGCAACAAGTGGTTCTACATTTCACAGATGTGCACTAAGCATTGTTTCCACTTTTCTTAAAAGAAAAATGAAATAATCGAGGACACTCTAGGGCTCCTCAACTCGGAGCTGAAGCGAGAACTTTCTCAAGGTTACATCTACAGCCGAAGTCTGAGTGAGTATAAAAACCGAAAGAACTGCGGTAAATCAGAAACAAAAAAAATTAGAAATTGCAGGTCTGGCAGCATCTATGGAGAGAAATCACAGTTAACGTTTTGGGTCCGGTGACCCTTCTTCAGAACTGATGGTAGTTAGGAATATGTGGGCTTATATGCAGAAGATAGGGTGGAGGTGGGGGTTAAAGAGTAAATGATACGTGGGGATAGAACCCAAAGAGAGAGAGAGACCAGTTAGACCGACAAAGGAGTGGATAACGATCTGGTTAGGAGGGTGAATAGCTTTAATGGGGACTATTAGGTGCTAACAATGGGTGGTGTGTAATAACAGACAGTGATAATAAGGCCTGGTTTTGGGGAAGGGATAAGGACATGGGAGAGCTCAAGCTTTAAAGTTATTGAACACGATATTGAGTCCAGAGGGCTGCAGGGCCCCCAGGCAGAAAATCTGGGCTGGGTGAGTTAGAGGATCTTTGTTGTTTACAGTTGCATTGGGTGAGGAATTCGTGTGCAGGCTCAGACTGTTATACAAGTCAAGAAACAAAGAGGGGTTTGGAAGCTGCAGTCCAAGAAGCAAGTCTTATGGTGTTAGGATTGTTGCTGCCTGGTTACAGGTGTGAGCACCAAATCTGCTCACTTTTAATCCACTTCTTGACATATGGATGTTCCATGTCTCACTGCCTTGCACTGTTGACAGTTAGTTTTTAGTACTCCTGTTCAAATTTTTGTCCCAAACCACGTGTAAGATGTCTATATCTTGGTTTTCCATTCTAAATCAGTCTGAATTTTGATCACTCTGCTTCTGAGGGAGCCAGATATAGGAACGGGTAGACTTTGCATGTTGCCAGACCTCACTCTGAGCTGGAAACCAACTGCAGATGCTGGAAATCTAAAAAAAAAGGATAAAAGCAATTAAAATTCTAATTTAGATAAGAATGTGCCTAGGACAGGGTGAAAATACTCACAGCTCAGAGTGGTGTGTGCAGGAATGAACCTGACAGGTTTGATGTGGTCTTAGGGACAGGTGCTGTATTCCTGCATGAGATTATAGAACAATGGAAGTAGCCACAGTGGGCCAGCTGTTAGAACATTCCGAATACAACTTTAGCTCAGTTAGTTTGGAATGAAGATACCTAAATTTGTTTTGAGGAGTGGTGGTAGGACGTGGAGACACAAAAATATCCCAATTAAATGTAAGACTTTAATAATCATTCCATAAAATCTTGATTATTCCACTATCTCATAATCTCCTGTTCGGGGAGTACAGAATGTTTTTTTTAAATGCAGGACACTTGTTCAAAATTAATTTGGAGGAGTTATTGAGACTGGGACTATTCTGGCAAGGGATGAATCAATACCAACAGCCCTTGGTACCATGTGCAACTATTTTAACCATTTCTGCTAAATTGGCTCTCTTACAAGTAAGGAGTGTAGTATCGCATCCAGTCCTGTATCCCATTGTGCTGTAATTGTCAATGCTATGTACAAGTTTAATTTGTTGAAAAGAAGAATGATGGTGAAGCCCAAACTTTAACAGATATCTTTTAAGAATGCAGTTGTGTAATGTATAACCCAGTCACAATACTTCAAAAGAATTAATATAATGTAATCTACATGTTGAAAAGACAGACTATTCACCAAATTTCAATCATTGATAAAATTGCTTTTATAATCAATAAATGGCTAAAACATTTAACAAATGTTGCATTGCTTTCGCTTTAGAAGATTACAGTAAAATCGTTGTAAGATTTTTAGTTTTGAAGCTGCACAACAGTTGGAACTTAGTAAATCTATGGTAGCCTTCATTTTGAACATCAGATGGCTTATGGTTATTTTCTTGCAATCCTTCTTGCTACAGAATGCATTGACATGTTGAGTCTTGATGGCCGGTTCACATTCAGTGCAGATCGACCACAGCTCCATTGTGCTATCTTCTTCATTGGCAGCCCAGATGAGATTATCTCCCTTGAATATAATTATGTCAATATAGACTGTCAAGGTGGAGATTTCCTCAAGGTATGCATAAACAAGCTAGTTTTTTTTTCAAAAGAGTTCAAACTTTAATGAATAGAGCTGTCTTGGTTTTTTTTGCACGTGATTAATATTATGTTAGATGCCACCATTCTTTGTAATTCCATTTTATCTGTTGATATTCTCGGCCTTCTTAGCTCTTTTAATTTAAGTAGATTCCTCAGAATTCCTTCAGTGTTAAAGTTGCTTCCATGACACTCAGTTTCATGAGTCACATAATAATTTATTTTCCCCTCCATAATTTTTTTTAAACTCCAGCTACATGCAAGATTAGAGTAACCCTTACCCTTGGGAAACATCCTGGTTAGAATTCATGCTAAACAGAATATAAGAAAAAGTGATTTTCTGACATTGAATTGCATTTTCACCCTCCAGAAACCACTCTTTTTCTTTCCCTTTTGCATTCTTTCCTATCATTTTATCAATAATATTGCACTCACTGTACCTCTGAATTTTCTTTTCTTGACAATTAAAGCCTTTTGAGTTAAATTTTAACCTAATTTATTTATTGCGTGGCAAGTCGGTATTTTGAGTCAGATGCCTATTTTAAACTCCCCTCGCTTATTGTCTAACAATCGTGGTATAAAACAGGTGTCCAATACAAAGATGCCTGTTTCAGTCCAGTATTAGATGACAAGTACTTCCATTCTTTTCCAGAAGAAAACAATACGGAGCTTTTCATTTCCCTCAGTCTTTCCTTCCTCAGCGAGCTCGTAAAATCTGATCACTACTTCCTGACATATTCCATATTGTCCTCTATTTGTCACTAATAGTATCAGTTCATCAGTTCCTGATGTGCTTCTAGTTCCTAGATCAACAGGCTGCTTTATTTCTCAGTTAACTTTAGCTCCTCATTATTTGCTCTACTCAAACCAAACATTGTGTAACTCTTCATTCCACTTCCAAGGTTTTTGTGTTTAAAGAAAGGATAATTTATTTCACTGTTTACAGAAGGAGCAGGGGCATTGAAAAAAAGAAATGGCCTAAAATTGGATGAAGCAGCTCTGTATTGCTGCCAGACTCTGTTTCACACTGACAGCTCTGGGATGAAGTTGGCAGTCGATGGAATCAGAAACATATGCTCAAGAAGAAAGGGAGCAAGTGGAACAGCAACAGTTACTTGTAAAGTATGGGATAGACAATGACTTAAATAATAATCAGTAAAATCGCGGAGAGAAATGGTGGTGATATTAGTTAGAAAACAAGAGATCCAGAGACAGGCTAGAAAGCAAGCATGATGAAAACAAGTTAGCATGATGGAGAAATTCAGATTGTTTGGGATGTAGTATTGCTGGTAAGGCCAGGATTTGATGCCCCTGCTTTGTTACTCTTGAGAAGGTGTTGAGCTGCCTTTTTAAATTAATTTCAGTTTGTGTGGTAAACACCAAAGCGCCCTTAGAAATCTATTAGGGAGGAGCTTCAGGACATGAAAAAGTGGTGATAATTCAAAGTCAGGGTGGCATACCACTTCGAGGTATTGGTCTTCCCATGCATTAACTGGGGAGGCGATGGCCTAGTGGTATTATCACTGGTCTGTTAATCCAGAGACCCAGATAATGTTCTGGGGACCTGGATTCAAATCCTGCCATGGCAGCTGGAATTAAGAGTCTAATGATGATCATAAATCCATTGTCGATTGTCAGGAAAAACCCATCTGGTTCACTGATGTCCTTTAGGGAAGGGGCAACTGCCATCCTTACCTGGTCTGGCCTACATGTGACTCCAGACCCACAGAAAAGTGGTTGACTCTTAACTGCCCTCTGGGCAATTAGGGATGGGCAATAAATGCTGCTTCACACATCCTGTGAATGAATAAAGGAAGAAAAAACTGGCCTTGGCCTTCTAAGTGCAGAGGTCACAGGTTTGGAGGGTGCTGCTGGAATGTAACAAGAGGAGGGCATCAAAGAGGAAGTACAGTATTGAGAGACAGATCAAGAGAAAAATCAGTAATGGACAGATGGAGCAATAGTCATTCATTACTTTCTCTAATAAACCAAATGGAAAGAAATAAAGGAGAAGCTTCAAATGTGAAAACTTATGAGGTTGTCTAATAAGGCATGAAAACAATGAAGCTTGTGGTGTAACTATGACAGACCGGACCTAGGACAAAGAAATAGTCCAGGTGTCCAAATAAATCCTCATGTCTTGCAGTGCATGTGTTAATCCCATTTTGTTTACAATGCATTAGTGTTGCCAGTTATTACTCTTCTAGGGAAAGGAGAAAGTTCCAGTAGTAAGCAGTAAGCTAATCAATATTTTTTACAAAAAGATGAATTAATATTATCAGACCTTTCACTTTCAGATGCTGATTTGACTGGTTGTGTTTTCCTGAATTTATGCTTTATTGCTGATTTTATTTTTGTTTTTAACTGGCTTTTCTTCAGTTTTCTTCTTGAAGTTCCCACACATTGCAACACAGTGCATACACATTCCATTTCAGAACAGTGCATTGGCTCTAAGCTCTTTGTGATGTTTTCAGGCAGTGATTTGTCTACGTACAAATAACATGTTTGGGTACAAAGCAAAATACTGCAAATGCTTCTAATTTGAAATTTTAAAACAAAAGTGCTGAAAAGGCTCATTAGGTCAAGCTGTACCATCAGAGAGAGAAACAGAATTATTGGCCTGTATTTTACTAGTCCTTTGGGAAAAGGCTAGGAGGCAGTAGTCAGTGTACATAAAGTGGTGCCCGAAGATGGATGTTGTCCTGCCCATCATATTCCTACATCCTTGCCATTTTTCTAGCCCCAGATAAGGTGGCAGAGAGCAGGTGATGATGATAGGAGTTTGGGGAGGGGAGTGAGGTTGCCCTAGTAGCTGTCCTTAATAGGGACAACTGCCAGGGACATCATCCAGCTCCCTGGGTCCTGTAGGCCACCGAAATGGGATTGGCCCTGCCTTCACACCTCCCAGCCAAACTCCACTGTAAAGACTAAATCTATTCCCCAACATTTCGGGTGGATAGTCTTCCATCAGGACTGACGTAGGACTAGTGAACGGTCATCATTCTGAAATTCATTCAGTTTCTCTCTCCACAGTTACTGCCTGATCCACCGTCATTTTCTGTTTTTAATTTCTTCTATTGCCCTAAATAATTTGCATTGATGCACAGGTCTTTGATGGCTGGATATTGAAGGGGGAAAAGTTTCCAAGCGCCGTAGACCACCCTCTCTCCACCTCAGAGCGTTACTTTGATTTCTGTGATAGTAACAACATCAAGACAATAATCAGATCCTCTCAAAATGTGGCAATGCTGTTCTTCAGAATTCACATGTCTGGAAATGGATTTTCCTTAACAATAAAGAAATTAAGCAATCCTTTCCGTAAGTATTTATTTTTAAGCACATTTTTACATGTTATTTGAAAGAATAAACTATCAAGCTACCTTTTAGGAGTTCATTCTTTGCTTTCTGAATGTTTTATTTCAAATTTGTCACTGTTGTCTCCTGAAGGCATTCACACTGGGTTACAGTTCTTGTACCACTAGCAGCCTTCAGTTAAGAGATTACTCGCTATATGTGGTCTTAGACTATGTGTGTGTATGCAGTTTCGCCTGATATCCACGCGCATGAATTTTCCATTATGGTCAGTGGATAGGAAAGAAGTGGGAACTCTGGTTGGCTTACCTTTTATTTATCAACCATCTAACTTCATAATGCTGTAGCCCATTGTAATATGTCATTGCCATTCAAGCCAACAAACTCAACACAGAATTGTGATTGGCCTCAATTTTGTTAACTCAGTAGGGTTGCCAAACGGACAACGTGTAACCATCTAATTTTTCTTTCCACTGAAATCATATATTTTATGTATTTTACACCCCCTGAACTTTAAAGTTCAACCCAACCATTTAAATCCTTAAGAACGTAAAAGAAAATCTAACTCCCATGTTAGATTTAAATTATGGTACTCCATTATTAGTTTGTGTACCTAAACATTCTCCCTCCAGCATTGTCATTCTGTAGCTGTTCTATCTACAGGATGCACTGGGAAAACATAATAATGCTTCTTTAATTTTAGCCCTTGCGACAGTGATATTATCACAAAACTGATAATTTATTGACCCAGATTAATGTATTGGGAACAGAGGTTCAAATCTCACCTATTCAGTTGATGGAATTTAAGTTAATCTGAAATTGAAAGCTAATCTTACTAATGGTGATCATGAAACTATCATAGGTTGCCATAAAAACCCATCCGGCTCATGTCCTTTAGGAAAGAAAATCTGCCATACTACCTGTACTGGTATTGTATGTCTCCAAATCAACAGCAATGTGGTTGACTCCTAGCTATCCTCTGAAATCACCAGGAAAGCCATCCAATTCAAGGCCAGTTGGGATGAGCAACAAATCCTGGTGTTGTTAACGACATGCTCGTCCCATGAAAGACTTTTTTTTAAAATATTACTTAACCAAAAGACAAGTGTAGTGGTCCTGATGTTGGTGTTGGTGATGCTGGGGAGGTGAGCCACAGTCAATAACTAGATAACAGGAGCATTTGAAACTGGAACACTGTCATTGTTCCCCAAGTATGATCCCAGACTTACCCATAAACCTCTCTATAAGTCTCACTCAAGATGACAAAACACGCAATATAATGTATGAAAATGCAGTGTAACATGAAAATGATTGGAATATAAAAATATATGTAAAATAGTGTTTTGACAATATTTAATGCATGAATTAGACCAACAGTTGAATTTGAGGGAAGGGTGCAACAATGTCAGTCTATTAAATAAGTATAGTACATCGGTATAAAATTATGGCATTAGATTTTAGTCATAGACTTTAAATCATTGGAATGACATTATTAGCTAACATCTAAAGAGCACACAGCTTCAAAAGTGTATCTGAAGATAGTGTTTGTTCATTCTGAATTCATTAGGCTATGGTAATAAACATGAGTATTGTACATATTAGTATAGTTCGAAGAACAATTTCCCAATGTGCCATATGTTACATATGAAACCTTTGATGCAATATTTTACCAGGAGTTGCTAAATTAATTTTCTGTTAAAGATAATGCAGGAAATGTTAAACTGAGCCTAAAAAAAGTACAATGTTTATATTTTACCAAAAATAATTCAATTTATTTATTATTCTAACATAAACACAATACAAAAATCTATCCAAGGAGAATGGTATGGAAATTATTGTGTTGAGCCTATTCATCGGGGTAAAACAGATCAATTCACCAACAGGAGAAAACTTTGCATACCCAGAGGCCACTGCCTTGTTCACTTAAGCATCATGTAGAACATTCCTCACCCCAGTCATGGTCATTCTGAGGATTTCTGCCATTGAGAAAGGAAGCCCCAAATTGTTATCTCCCATCAAGCACCTGTCCACAAAAGGGTGACTAGCAGCACCTTGTTCCAGGTACAGGTATTTCAGCTATAATGCGTGTTTTGTTAATGCAAATTGGCTGTAATGTGATTGATGAATAGTGGATGCTGTTTGGATAACGCAAACTTTCTACTGTACAGATATAGTAATTTTCTATAGCGATTTCCCTATAACGTGATTTTCTATGGCGATTTTCTATAGCACAAGGTCACACCAGAACACAACTATCGTGATATAGGAGAACTACCTGCATTCAGAGGAAGCCCAAGAACTAACTTCCTCAGACCTCTTGCAACACTGGATTTTGGATCAGGATTTTGCCCCACCCCCAACACCCAAGTGGGGCAAGTACAGGGACAAACTATCATGAACTTCATGGCATGCCAATTTGCTATGTTAACTGAGCTACGAGTTTCATCTCCTTGGGAATTGTAGAGCCTCCTGTTGACTCTTCAGCTTCCAGAGTCAGTCTGCCGTCATTAGTTGGAGGGTGAGCCCACCCACTGGCAACTATTTGGCTAATTTAGGAAAAATCCCTGCTGGGTGACCTTTCCCCTCACAGTGTTAGTTAGTGACCGTTATCTGACCCCAACCTTTTCCCAACCCAAATTTCTGCCAATTGCATCTGGACCTTAAAATACCCAGCAGGTTTAATTTCAAGCCTTGTGTCTCAATACGAGTTCATATTTGTGAATTAATCATCAACAATGTCGACCTGAATGTCTTGTGAAAGCCAAACGTTCATTTAAAACAATATGCTTTAAACAAAATGTTATGAGGAATCTTCCATTACAGCCTGGAAGATAAACAAGCTTTCCATGCAGCAACCACGTGCTCTAGTTAGCACCACAAGTGTTCAGTATAGCTTCATGCATGATGTCTTTTGAACATTACACAGCCACTAATCAGTTCATGGCTCGAGCTGTGCAAATGCATTATGAAAATTGTAAATTACCCCTCAGACAAAACTAATACAGTACACAGAATGCTGTTAGAATTGGCCTATGATTCTTTTCCCTAGAAAAGTGATCCAACACATGATATGCAGAGCAGAAAATTGAAGTAAAATAATTTATCCTTGCAACATTGTAAACTCCATTAACTGTATGAGCACCCTATTTGATCATTAAATCCAGTTGTTTGAGGTAACCTACTCATTGCATGGATTAAAAATTGATTATGTGAGAATAGACAGTGATTCACAGCCGCTCTGCACCACATGGGAAAAATTCAAAACCTAGTATTTAAACGAACAATCTGTGGGGACTCCTATGGTGCAGTAGTAGTATCCCTACCTATGAGCCAGAAGAACCTGGAGTTAGGACCCACCTCCTTTACAGTTGTGTCATAAAATGACTGAACAGGTTGATTAAAAATATCTTCTACTACAAGTCACTTTCATAAAACCACAGCCCAAAATTCATCTGTAAAGAATGGCTACAGTGATGTTAACACTACAGTGATGTTCTATATATCAGTTGTGATGAGATATTACCATAAAACAGGCACTCAGCATACCCACATCTGACTGAGCATTACATTTAATGGCTTATTCAACTGACCTTAGTTGAATTGTTGTTAGGATTAATGAATCTCATATGTCTTGAGAATACTTGAGCCCACATTTCACTCCCTCATGAGAGCTGGATAAAATTTAATCGCCAAGTTAATGTATTCCTGATTTGGGCCAATTATGAAACTATTAACTCCCTTATGGTAGGACGGCCAGAGAGACTGCCTGTCGTGAGCCTCAAATCCATTATTTTCTCAAAATTAATTTGGAATCTCCCTGCTGGCCAATGCAATCAATTGATTTTGCAGGTATTTTGGATTGTTAAAATGCAAAGTCTTCTTTTTCCACTCCTGTAGCAATGTTGGCCTCTAGCTGCAACCAGACATTCTTAGCCCCCAGAACTGCCATGGGGCACATGAGGAAAAATGTAGCAGACAATGAATTTTCATCGTTCACAGACCTCATCAGGAAATGGATTGGCAGAATATACTGCATGTATACCCCTAGATGGGGAAGTGGAAGGGATGTGGTGATCCATGATCCATTTCCCAGTCCTATCAGCCAGATCTATAAAGGAAGGTTCAGAACTTGCCTTCATTGTGTGCAGAAAATGGACTGGGGAAAATGAGTAAAATTATAACAAAGGTGACTGTAAATAGCAAAATAAAATAACACTGGACAGAGCATTGGCATTCAAATCACAACTCCACTGCTGCTGTTTAAAATCCAAACAGTTTGTATTTGTGTAGCAATTCTGTCTCTCAAATATTGTTTGTTCTTCCACAAAGCTTGCAATGTGATATCTCAGACTCCTGATGGAAGGTTCACAATGGTCATTCCTCACCAGAAGAGAAACTGCAGCTTTTCCATCATTTACCCAACAGAAATCGTGATCTCTGAGCTGACCCTGGGACATTTCAATGACCTGCAGGTATTCTGACCCACAAAGGATTAGTTCACTAATTAATTAAGGCTGTGTTGAAATGTTATGTAATTTATCACATGAGTTTAGAAAGAAATTATACATGTGCCTAAAATATGGTTCGAAAGCATGCCACTGGATCCTGCAGCACCTGAGGAATCTTATTGTTTGTAGAAATTTGGGTATTTTAGAGACATGAGCAAATAGTTAATGAAACTGCTTACAAACTTTCCAGGGGCTGACTAAAGCAATAGAATATGAAGGTACTTTCAATAAATTGACACCAGCTAGAAATCTTACATTTAGGTTATTTCAGTCCTGGCTTGAAAGCGTGTGGGCCCAAACTGCAAATCATCCTTTTTTTGACACTAAGTGCTATAAAATTGCCAGTCTCACTCTAAAGGTTACAAAGTTGATTGATGCTGTCAATTTCATTAACTTTTGTCCCTGCTGCAAATTCTATGCCCCAGCCACCAGCTCCATCCCGCCCGCTGGTAACTGCCTAAGGCTGAACCACAGCCTTCCTAACTTTGGACCTACAATATTTAACCGGGAGATGATTTGTTGAGCAGTATGCACTGCCACTAACCCCATTTATTTCCATTTCAGTAACAATGTCCGACCCCACCCCACCTCAGCTCAATTGTTGCTGAAACTGTCATACATGTCTTTGCACTCACTAAAGATAAAATTGCCATTGTTGTTCCAGACTACAGGGGTGCTCTTCCATGAGAGATGGCAGGTGATGGTTTAACCTGAGACTCACCATATCTCAGTTATAGGAAGATGTTGAGAAGAAGAATCCCTCATGGTAACCTCAGTCAGTGCAGGAAATGATTCCACACTGTTGGCCTCAGTCTGCATCAGCTGTTCAGCCAACTGAGCTTCTTGGAGCTATCATGTACCTGAGCTTCAGTGTATTCAGCTTTAAGTAATCTTTTCATGGCTTTATCCCAGCACTTCTGAAATTAACACTAATTCTTCACTCTAAAATACCCTAGTTCATTATACATCCCTTCCTTCTCAGGAGCACTGTTTGCACAACCATCCTGTTCAAAGGATTTAATGAGATTGCCCCACTTGAAGTCAGAAGTGAACTTTAAAACTCTGTCTCAGCTGTGGGTGTTTCCCCTCAGCTTTACTAAGAAATAAGTTCCAGGACTCAGTAACAAACCTTAAGGCTGCATTATTTACCATGCCGAGGCAAAAAACAACATAAAATAAGTAAAAGTCTATGAGTGGTGCACAAACCCATTAGTTCTGAAGCCAGGACTCAAAGACTGTTTTTAAAATAAATCACCATGACTACAGAGATAACAAGGTGTAGAGCTGGATGAACACAGCAGGCCAAGCAGCATCATAGGAGCAGGAAGGCTGACGTTTCGGGCCTAGACCCTTCATCAGACCCTTCATCACCATGACTACAGAAATGTTTGTGATTAATTATTAATAAATTAGTGAATTAATTATTAACTTCAGACATGCAGAAAACCCATAGTTACTAATTCAAAATACAGAAGCCCAAACTCATAAAAATAACATTAAAATTATACATTCCCCAGTGCCTTGAAGAATGTTGCTGTGTTAAAAGTACTATGTAAGTGCAAGTTGTTAATGATGGCTTTGTTGAAATGAGAAATGAAAAGGCGATGTGAGCAGAAAGTCTCCCTGTGAGGTTTAAGTCTTTATGGTGGGATGGAGTACAGATGGCAGAGTCAAAATATAATTGCTTATATCTGATCCAAAGTGATTGTTGCCAATAATTGTTGAAAAAAAGTGCAAAATGTTCCATTTCACAATCTGATGAGCAAGACATTCACACCCACGTGAAAAAAAGAGCGTACTGGAAAAGATATAGAAAATTTGCCTGTATGAGTACATGAGGTTTATCACAACCTTCGCAAAATAATTGTTGATAGCATACACTAAAATAAGCATATGTCATAAGGCTGCAATGTATTAATTTTGTACAAATGCAGCCAATCCAACAGTTGAATATATCTTGCTGCCTGGTATCACTACTTATGACTGTATTAATTGTAATCAATAATACATTTTTTTTTAGGTGGAAATACACTGTTAGTCGCCACATGATGATTCAGCTCTTTGTCATTATATGGGCAGTTACTGAAAATAACAGGGTGCCATTCTCTGGCCCAGTGAAAATGGATTTCTGCTTGAGAGAATTTGCGGGCATTAGTGAAACTCTGAGAACAATGCTTGCTCACTGTTAACGAAACGATCTTAAGTTTCATCTTTGAATTATACTGAAAAGCTGGCGAGAAGCCAAAGCAGTGTGACAGAACACCCTGGAAGTGGGCTTGCACATTTTGACAAATTGAATTCACACAAGTTGAGATCTGAATTATACTTCACAATTTGTGATGATGCTAAGTCAAAGATTGGTTCACATTTATGTAAGCTGCATTGTATGTCTGGAATAACAAAGACAGCTGTTTTCATACAGATAGAACCGTGCTACCATCTCTATTCCCATGGCAGCCTATATGTTAATGTTAGGAAAATTGAACTGGAACCTCATGCAGAAATATCACACATCCCCTGATAGCGATGACATCTGAAACATACTTCCAAGTTGTACCCTGTGGACTATAATGTGAAGTTTTGGTTTACGTAATTCCACATTGATCACACCCAAAGAGACAGACAGTGTATACCATTAGAACATATACAGGAGGGATTAATTTTGTCGATGTAAACATTAACCAACATTGTTACAAATATGAAAACGGAGGAATGGAGGGGAAATGTGATCTGCTCTGGATGGCTTTGCTGTTAATGCTTACAGAGGGAGCCCAGGTTGTTTTATGGGGAAGAAGGTGCAAGTTACTGTCACCTGGAAACAATGACTAGAGCAACTGTGTTGACAATGGATAGACTGTTGGTCTCCAAAGCATTAGAAATGTCAGATACTGTAAAAGGCTATACTCTAATCTAAAGATTTAATTCCAGAATAGAATGAGAGAATAACTAATTAGCATTTCTACCAAGATACAAAACTCATGTCATTCTTGTTTCCATAGAAATTGGCTATGACAGACTAAGAGTTCATAGGAAGCCATTATAAGGTGCAGGTTTTCCTAAAAGTATCCCTGAATCTCACAGTGAGGATGAATCCAGGGAGAGAGAGAGACGGACAGACAGAGAGATAGTAGCAGCAAAATGCAAGTAGATCACGCTCTAATTGAAGAGACCAAAATTGTGAGAGTTTAAACAAATCTGGAAGTTTCATTTTGCATTGGCTCGAGAGAGGAACCTTCTGGGTTACATACGCTGTGAAAATCAGGTTGGAGATTAGAAGTTAACAAGATTGGAAAGAGAAAGGAGCTAAGAGTCATTTTGAACTGGTTCTTGGAGAATGATGTTAAGTCACCTGAGGACCAAAGTATAGTAGAATCATGGCAAGGAAATTTCAGTCATTTTAATTGTTGAACAGAGGATCCTTCCTGAAATACAAAGTATAAGTTGTCTACAAAAATTAATCAGTATCACTTTTAGTTTTTGTGTTATGTAAAAGTCTTGAAACTTGAAATCTTGATGTCTGATCATTTCAGTCAGTCACCTTTGAATTTCTTTTTAAAAGTTATAGGTCATAAAACCTTCTGGTTAGAACTTACATTTTCATTTAAGCAAACTGACAGGTCTAACAACTTTACTTTCTCTCAAATGCGGAAATTAGCAGATGATAATGAGCTGTTTTGGGATATGCCCTCTGTGGAGTACCAAGCATGAATGAGCTGCATTGATTTCTTTGTGTCATGTCCATTAGATACCTGTTAAAAGCTGTGGTGGAGCAACTGATTTTGTGCAACTTTTGGGAGGGAATAGACTGGACCCGAGCCAGATGTACCCAGTGGCTGACATTTGCTACTCATTCAGTGGACCAGGTGAGAGATTGATTCCATGAATCAAAGTTCTATAGGTGCGTTAAAATTTATTTAAAACAGCTTTCCGTGTTTGGAAAGACATATTTTGAATAAAAATATATATATGTGTATTTATGTTTCTTTTAATTTATTATAGTTGTTAATGATTAAGTTAATAAATATTTCTATGTTGACTGTGTGTGATGTTTATTGGGATTTGACGGCTATCATGAAAGGACAGAATGATATTATCCCATGTAATTTTTTTCTATCAGAATTTTACTTCCTTTTAATTTATGCCTTCCCAATGAATCAGGTTTTTTTTTGGATCAAGGGATTGAGTATTCATTTTGTTTGCATAAAACATGACCTCTGATCATTTTTCTACAAATTTTATTTTGGAAGGTCGAATTTGAATGCAGAAAACAGGGTTAATGGCAGGATTCTCAGCAATGTAGAGGAACAGAGGGATCTTGGGGTTCACGTCCATTGATCCCGTAAAGTTGCTACCCAAGTTGATGGGGTTGTAAAGAAGGCGTATGGTGTGTTGTCTTTCATTGGCAGGGGAATTGAGTTTAAGAGCCGTGAGGTTATGCTGCAGCTGTATAAAACTCTGGTTAGACCACACATGGAATATTGTGTTCAGTTCTAATCACCTCATTATAGGAAAGATGTGGAAGCTTTAGAGAGGGTGCAGAGGGGAGAGGGCAGGTCTTATGAGGAAAGGTTGAAGGAGCTAGGGGTTTTTTCATTGGAGCGAGGAAGGTTGAGAGGTGACTTGATTGAGGTTTACAAGATGATGAGAGGCATAGATAGAGTGGATAGCCAGAGACTTTTTCCCTGGGCAGAAATGACTATTATGAGGGAGCATAATTTTAAAGTGATTGGAGGAAGGTATAGGGGAGATGTCAGAGGTAGGTTCTTCACACAGAGAGCGGTGGGCGTGTGGAATGCGCTGCCGGCAGTGGTTGTGGAGTCAGATATTTTAGAGACTTCTAAGCGACTCTTGGATAGGCACATGGAGGGTAGTAAAATGTAGGGTATGCAGGGTAGATTGATCTTGGTAGGATAATAGGTCAGCACAACATCGTGGGCTGAAGGGTCTGTACTGTGCTGTACTGTTCTGTGTTCTAAGTTCTTGTCTACAGTCTTGTTGCTCATTAATTCCTTTTGGCTGAGCTTGTGGAGGTGTTTGGCGGTTCACAGAGTTGTTCAAAGTTGGTGACATTGACAAGGATTGGTGCTACACATGGCAAAGCCCTTGGTTCGCACTGCTGGAATTTTGGTCGGATTGTCTCTCAATCATAGGTTCTTGAGTAACCATCACCTTGGACTGAAGCATGTATGAGAAAGACGCAAAGCAATAGAGAACAAGTTGTTCACAGAGGGAGGAGGAGATGGTGGGAGTGAAAGAGCTCTTAAAGATCTATCGACCAATGGTCTCACAGGAAGATGCCTTTTACTCTAACTGAACCCAGAGGCAGTGTGTGCATTGACTCCATTTTACAAAAGGTGTGCACACAGATATCTACCAGCCTGTGTAGGCAGATCTGCAACCTCAGAGTACGACATAGATGGTGACTGTGAAAGTAACCATGACCCCGAATTTCTTCAGTATTCTACCAGGCTGGCCCAGGCAACATCTGGAACATCTCCCCATTCAACTTTATTTTATCCCTTCATAGGATGTGGGGGTCACTGGCTAGTTCAGCATTTATTTCCCATCTTAATTGCCCTTGAGAAGGTGGTGATGAGCTTCTTGAACAACTGCAGTCCTTGGATTGTAGGGACACCTGCAATGCCAGTAGGGAGTGAGGTGCTGGATTTTGACCCAACAACACTGAAGGAACGGCCATACAGCTCCAAGTCAGGATGGTGTGACTTGAAGGGCCACTCGCAGGTTGTGGTGTTCCCATGCACCCACTGCTCTTTCATTCTGGGTGGTAGAGGTTGTGGGTTCACAAGGTGCTGTCTGGAGGAGCCTTGATGAATTATTAATGTGCAATAGATGCACCTCCTCTTTAAGAGATATAGGCTTTAAGTGTCGATAACCCCGAATAAAACTTGGCTCCTTGCTGAGACGTGCAGGCAGCGCGGCCTGTTCTCTATGGCCATTAGTAATTGACAGGCAGCAAGAAGATTGTCTGCTATATCACAATGAAAGTGAGGGCTTAATCGTGCATCACAATTCCTGTCCCTCGCTTTGGGACCTATCCAATTGCTCCCCTTAGGATTCTGTCGGGTACTTTTATGTGCTTAGAGGTAATCGCTGCAATCACATTCACAGCAGTTACCTTTTATTCTTTTGAGGACTAGTTTATTTGAAAGGCTTTTTTTTATTAAACTTAACATTTTTTTCATTTCAGCACAAATTAAGATTGGGTGTGACAACACCGTAGTGCGCATTGTGTCCAGCGGCAAGTATATAAATCGCCTTACGTTTGAGTACCGCCAGCTGAGGCAGTACGAGATGGACAAACAAAATGAAAACGGGGTTGAGGATTTCTGCTACGCTGCAGAGTGAGTGGATTTCTCTGTACAGACTCCACCTGCTCTTTGATTAAAGGAGAAAAGCTGTGGCATTGTTGTAATTCTGTCAAAAGTGTGAGATCTGTAGTGGTCATCTGTTACTACCTTGTTAATTCATTTATTAGAACTTTGCCGGGTAGCTGCTGCTTTATCTTCCCGATTAATGAATGAACTCTTGTGGTGAGCTCTTGCTGCTTTGCCAGTGAGTTAGTCAGCAAGTGTTATGTTTAAGGCAGACCAGCAGCCAGAATGGTTATTAGGCTGACAGGAAAAAAAAATCATTGCTTGCTAAGACTTTATTTGATTCGATTGTGATAGCAAAGTATATTTACTTCATATTTATTGCTTAGAAATGATGCTGTCACACTGGACCACCAGCACTGTATAAAACACTTTGTGAGGCAATCAAGTATTATGTAAATAAAGATAATTAACAGCAGTATCTTTATTCTGTGCCATGTTCTGGGGAATAGCCTTTTTTTGTTCTGACAGAAGTGGTAAACTGAATGTGAATGACACATACTGGTCCAACTCATCTTGCATACTTCAAAATGGTGCTCCATTACAATCAGTCCACTCAGGTCCAAATATAGTTGGGTTTTTAACTGTATTTTTCCTTTGTGTGGACAGGGTTAAAATCCTCTGAGGAATGTTCACCAGTCCCTCTTCAATTGTGGCAATCACTGTATTAGTTAATAATATGGTACCAAACTAAATATTTTTCAAGATTCTAAATTACTTTTAAAATTTCAAGTATATTTACAATTGAACTCTTGACTTCAAAGACCAAAAGTGGCATTTTAACCTCCAGGGGAGGGTGGGATTGGGTGGTGATAGAGGGTTCAAGGAGGCAGCAACAAATCAGACCACACTGCGGACACAGATCCACCCTGCTGACTTTTGGATTTTTTTTTTACTGAGGCTGGGAAGAGATCAGCGGCCAATCCACTCACCACAACGAGGTTGACATTTTAAATATGGAGGGTTTCCAATTCTGCCACACTTCTTCCCACCATCACACCCCCACCCTCCCCAAACAGACACCCATGAATCAAACCCCTCTGTGATTGAGGATCAGCGCTAGCCCCCACTCCCCATTGCACTGAGTTTAATCAGGGACCGAATTTCTCCCAGGTTGGGGATTGCATTCCAACTTGGATTGAAGATCAGAATCCCTTCAGAATCAGTGATTGAACCCATTCTCAGATCAGCCATCTACAAGATTCAGGGATCAGACCCAATCCAGTATTGATGATTAGACCTTTGGTACCCTGAGCTCAGGCTGATCAGACGCTTTGTAAGACTGTACTCCTACCAGGATCAGTAAACTAATACTCCCAAGGATCTGATGCCATAGGATCAGGCACTTAGTCCTGTAACCTCCACCCTTGGGCTCCCTGCGTGATTGGAACCCAGACTTGTCAATCAAGCTTATCTCTGGGCAGGCAATCTATCGGTGAATGAAGAAAATGTATCCTTCCAGATTTGACAGACCTGTTCTTCCTTCATTCCCACCATACTGGCAAGTCAAAACTATCCAGATTCACCAAACAGAAGGAATTGTGTTGAACCAGCTCTCTGAGTATTCTAACCTCGCGCCAATTCTCCTAAAACAGAAAGAAAGGACAAGTTAGCTGATACAGCATTTGCAAAAGAGATTTTAACATTACATAAAGACATATCATTATTTAGTCATAATTAAATCCTCTTTAAAAACATAAAACAGCATGAGAATCTGTACATTGAAATTTAATTATCTATATTTAACTCAAAGACAAAATAAAATATTGTGGACAATTTTTGTTTTCAAATGTATTATTTTATTGAGGAGTATAACAGTCATAACATTTTTTTTTATTTCCTGCAGTTCACATTAAAGTTATTGCGCTGCGTTAAAACATTTCAAGTCACATTATAATGTCTTGAACTGCAACTCAGAATATTTTATATAGATTCATATTACATCACTTGGGGCTGACTTTCCCAATACTTTTGGCAAAGTTTGTTTGAGTGAGATTCATGGCATCTTGTCCACTGTAATCCTTGCCAACTTTTCAAATGCAATCTTCCACTCTTCATCTTATTAATTATGCAACCAGGCTCTCCAGTGCCCATCTTGTGAAATTGCATGGCAGAAGAAGTGGAAATGCTTCACGATCTGCGATGTTCCCATCACTGGCACTAAACTTAAACACTAGTTGCCCAACTCATAATGTGCTGCAAGCCAGAACCTGCCATTCACCATGGGTTCCTGGCATATAACCAATGAGAAAAAATTACACAATTAACAGGCGTCCAAATCTGGCTCGTTTATCCCAGAAGGGGAGGCAATGGCCTAATGGTATTATTGTTAGACTATTAATCCAGAAACTCAGCTAATGGTCTGGGGACAGCAGATGGTGGAATTTGAAATCAATAAAAAAAAACTCTGGAATTAATCTACTGATGACCATGAAACTATTGTTGATTAAAGTTTTAGCAAAGACTTGTAGCTCGGGTTGTGGGTGAGGTTGTTGACTTGCTCACTGAGCTGGCTTGTTCTCATTCAGACGTTTCGTCACCATGCTAAGTGACATCATCAGTGGAGCCTCCGCTGAAGCGATGTTGTTCTACTCCGCTTGGAATTTACACTATCCAGTCTTTTATGGTGAATAGTGTCATTTCCGGTTTTGACCAGTATGATCATATACAAACCTGTACTGATCAAAAACCGGAAATGACACTATTCACCATAATGGACCGGACAGTAGAAATTCCAAGCGGAGTAGAATAACATCGCTTCAGTGGAGGGTCCACTGATGATGTCACCTAGCATGATGATGAAACGTCTGAAAGAGAACAAGCCAGCTCGGTGAGCAAGTTAACAACCTCACTGTTGTTGATTGTCGGAAAAACCCATGTTGTTCACTAATGTTCTTCAGGGAAGGAAATCTGCCATCCAGATCCACAGCATGTGGATGACTCTCAGTTGCCCTCTGAAATGGCCTAGCAAGCCATTCAGTTGTACCAATTGCTACAAAGTCTCAAAGAAATGAAACCAAACAGATCACTTAGCAGCGACCTCAGTACCGGAAAAGACAACGCCAGAAACAGCCCTGTCCACCCTGCAAAGTCCTCCTCACTAACATCTAGGAGCTAGTGGCAAAATTGGGAGAGCTGTCAAGCAAATGCCTGACATAGTCATACTCTTGGAATCATACCTTATAGGCAATGTCCCGGACATCACTGTCATCATCTCTGGATATATCCTGTCCCACCGACAGGACAGACCCAGCAGAGGAGGCGGCACAGTGGTATACAGTTGGAAGGGAGTTGCCCAGGGAGTCCTCAACATTGACTCATAAAGTCTCATGGCTTCAGGTTAAACACAGATGAAGAAACATCCTACTGATTACCACCTACCATCCTCCCTCAGCTGATGAATCAGTCCTCCTCCATGTTGAACCAGACTTGGAGGAAGCACTCAGGATGGCAAAGGCACAAAATGTACTCTGGGTGGGGGATTTCAATGTCCACCACCAAGAGTGGCTCGACACCAGCACTGCTGATCGAGCTGATCAGTTTCTAAAAGACAGTGCTGTTAGACTGGGTCAGTGACTGCTGGTGAGGGAAGAAACGAGAGGGAAAAACATACTTGACCTTATCCCTACTAATCTGCCAGCTGCAGTTGCATCTGCCCATGACAATATCAGTAAGAGTGACCATTGCCCACTCCTTGTGGAGATGAAGTTCCACCTTCACATTGAGAATCGTGTTGTGTGCACTATCACCATGCTAAATGTGACAGACTCTAAACAGATCCAGCAAGTCAAGACTGGGCACCCATGAGGTGCTGTGGGCCATCAACAGCAGCAGAATTGTGCTCCAACACAATCTGTAACCTCATGGTCCGGCATATCCCCCACTCAACCATTACCATCGAGCCAGGGGATCAACCCTGGTTCAATGGAGAATGCAGGAAGGCATGCCAGGAGCAGCACCAGGTAAACCTGAAAATGAAGTGTCAACCTGGTGAAGCCACCAAACAGGATTAATTGAACGTCAAACAGCGAAAGCAGCAAGTGATAGACAGAGCTAAGCAATCCCACAACCAACAGATCCGACCTAAGATCTGCAGTCCTGCCACATCCAGTTGTGAATGGTGGTGGACAATTAAACACCTCACTGGAGGAGCCCCATGGCACCATCCCCTGTAATCAGCGAAGGTGCAACACCTACCCATTTACCTCCTCCCTCTCACCTATCCAAGGGCCCAAATATCCCCATCTTCAATGATGGAAGAGCCCAGCACATCGATACAAAGGATAAGGCTGAGGCATTCGCAGCCATCTTCAGCCAGAAGTGCTGAATGGGTGATCCATTCAGGCCTCCTCCAGTGGTCCCCAGCATTACAGATACCAGTCTTCAGCCAATTCAATTCACTCCACGTGATATCAAGAAATGGTCAGAGGCACTGGATACTGCAAAGGGACCATTGCCACTGGGACACCTTGGTCCCCTCTACCTTCACTCCCACACCCTCCCCACAGCCCCATGGCACCATCCCCTGTAATCAGCGAAGGTGCAACACCTACCCATTTACCTCCTCCCTCTCACCTATCCAAGGGCCCAAACATACCTTCCAGGTGAAGCAACACTTCCCAGAATCTAGTCTACTGCATTCGCTGCTCACAATGTGGTCTCTTCTACGTTGGGGAAGCAAAACATAGACTGGGTGACCGCTTCACTGAGCATCTACGTTCTGCTCATAAAAAAAAATCCCTGAGTTAACTGTTGCCTGCCACTTTAACACACCACCCTGTTTCCTAGCCAACATCTCTGTCTCTGGCTTGCAGCATTGTTCCAGCGAAGCTCAGCACAAGCTGGAAGAACAACACTTCATTTTCCGCTTGGGGAGCCTGCAGTCCTCTGGACTCAATATTGAGTTCAATAATTTAAGGCCTAAACTCTCCCACGTCCCAGCCCCCCACCCCACACACCAGGCCTTATTATCATCTAGCCTGCCATTACACACTACCTGTCATTAGTCACTTACAGTCCCCATTAACAGCTATTCACCCTCCTAGCCAGATCGTTATCTACTCCTTTGTCTGTCCAACTGCTCTTGTCTCTCTTCCAGCTCTATCCTATTGTTTACTCCCTACCCCATCCCTCTGCCTATTTTCTGCATATAAACTGATTTTTCCCAGCTACTATAAGGTCTGAGGAAAGATCATTGGACTCAAAACGTTAACTCTGATTTTTTCTTCACAGATGCCAGACCTTCTGAGCTTTTCCAGTAATTTCTGTTTTTGTGCATAAATTCCAGGCTCTGATTATCACTCATAAACTCATCACTCACGATCCAACCACCACCCCTTGGCATTCAGTGGTGTTGCCATCACTGAATCACTCACTATCAACATCCTGGGGGTTTCGATTGACCATAAACTCAACTGG